CACATCTCTGTTTTTACAGTAGTACCTTGTGATTATCTTAACTTCTTCAAATTTTTTTATGTGACAGTAAAAATCAAAAGTGTCAATTGAAAATTGTTACCAAAAGAATTGTTTATTTATTGAATTATCATCGATGAATTTTATTAGTCATCATCAGAATTCTATTAGTTATTATACAATTTATTATAACAATAGAATTGTACATTGTACAATAGTGTATATATACACGATATAATACAGAATTACAGTAATTATAATAATTACAGGAAGAATCCTTGCAACTGACAAGGTGTGAAAGACACTTGAGAAAATAAAAAAATATATGTAGTAGTGGACACCGGTTTGTTGGATTAACTGCAGTGTGCAGTTGTGTAATCGAAACATCGATACCCTTCAGATGCAATGCGTGTCCATGTAATCGTGATACGGTCAGGGGTGGACTTATTTGAAATAGGATAACGGATCATTGTTTGAAACGATCGGTTATTGGGGTGTGAAAGTTCTGTGGGTGCGGAAACATTATGCTGTGGCTGATCGTTCGATGTGAGCAATCAAGTTATATCATTACTATGATTTTTATGGTAAAATAGTTTTCTTTTTTGGGTGACCTTATGCAAATTTCTGAATACTGAAACATTTAAATTTTTTAATTTTTATATTTTCATATTTTAAAATTTTTAAGTTGTAGGACTTTCATAGCAACAAAATTTACAAATACTCAGTTCCATAATTTCTCGGTTCCATAATTTCCCAGTTCCCTAACTCCCCAATCTCAAATTTCCCAAATTCAAAAATTCTAAAATTTCCAAATCCCTAATTCTATAATTTCCCAATTCCCTAATTCCCTAATTCCCCAGTTCCATAATTCCCCAATTCCCTAATTTCCTACTTTCTTAATTCCCCAGTTCCTTAACTCCCCAATCCCTGATTTCCCAAATTCACAAATCTCCAAATCTCCAAGTCCCCAGTTTCAAAATTTCCTAAATTCACAAATCCCCAATTCCATAATTTCCCAATTCCCTAATTCCCTAGTTCCATAATTCCCCACTTCCCTAATTCCTAATTTCCCAAATTCACAAATCTCCAAATCTCCAAATCCCCAGTTCCAAAATTTCCTAAATCCACAAATCCCCAATTCCATAATTTCCCAATTCCCTAATTCCCCACTTCCCTAATTCCCTAGTTCCTTTATTCCCTAATTCCTAATTTCCCAAATTCGCAAATCTCCAAATCTCCAAATCCCCAGTTCCAAAATTTCCTAAATTCACAAATCCCCAATTCCATAATTTCCCAATTCCCTAATTCCCCACTTCTCTCATTCCCTAGTTCCTTTATTCCCTAATCCCTAATTTCCCAAATTCACAAATCCGCAGTTCCAAAATTTCCCAAATTCACAAATCCCCAGTTCCATAATTTCCCAATTCCATAATTCCCCACTTCCCTAATTCCCTATTTCCTTCACTCCCTAATCCCTAATTTCCCAAATTCACAAATCTCGAAGTCTCCAAATCCAACTTCCCAAAGACTCCCAACACCCCACTTATCCATTCACCATAAGAATTCCTCCAAACTCCCCAACAAAACCACCTCCACAAAGAGTCTCCAATCCTCAAAGCACACATCCGAAACCGTTTGATGCACGTTTCCCGCAGAAATTTACGTGCACACTGAAATATCTATGCAGATGTGTATGTAAACGAGAGCAGAGCTTTACGTATGGCGAGGGATTACGATACTGTATAGCCAAGATACGAGACGGTACGGTTAGATAGATCTCGGTTTCGTTCCCTTTATCCGCGGGATTCCTCTCGGTTTCGCGCCAGCCAGCCACCCATTCGACCTCCTCGATTTTCCTGCACCTTTTCGCCCTCCATCCCTTAACTCTTCTTCTCACCTTCGACCCGCCGTGCCGCAATTTCCCTCCCGACCTCCTTTAACCCGCTTCGCTGAGACAGACGGTTAATTCGCGGCACGCTGTGCAATTCGTGGCGAACCCCGAATCGACAATTCTAACTAGCTGTCGTCGGCGAAGGAACACCTCGTGGTTTGCTGCGTTCTACTCCTCGAATTCTGTCGTGATTCTGGTGAATCGAGATTCTTCGTGCTGTTTGACGGAGGAGAATGTGGGGAGATACTTTACATGATCTTGACCTTGGAGATTTTAAATAGTGTGTGTTTTGAAGGAAATGTGAGAGAATGTCAGGTTCAGGTACTTTTGATGATCTTGACCTTGGAGATTCTTCATGGTGTGCATTTTAGTGGAAATATGGGAGAATGTGGAGTTGAGGTACTTTTGAGGATCTGAACCGTACAGATTCTTCGTCGACTGAGTTTTAATGGAAATAAGGGAGAATATGGGGTTTAGGTACTTTAGACGATCTTGACCTTGGAGTATTTTATCAAGGACCACATTCTGAACAAATTTTGTATATATGTATTTTTGTCATTTGGTGTTAGTTTTCAAGATATTCACAAAAATATAATAGTACTACATTGCTATCTTCCAACATTGGGTGTATATCAAACTTACATTAAAAAATATTAAAAATGATATTCAAAGTGAAATTTAATTAATGAAATTTACAAGGTAATTTTACAAGATCTAGAGATCCAGAGACAGGTCCTTAGAAGGTTATTTTTATGACGAAATTCAAAATTCATATGAGTGTGAATATGTGTGTGAATATGAGGGTGAATATGACTGTAAATATGAGTGTGAGTATGAGTGTGCATATGAGTGTGCATATGAGTGTGAATATGAGTGTGAAGATGAGTGTGAATATGAGTGTGAATATGACTGTGATTATGAGCGTGAATATGAGTATGAATATGAGTGTGAATATGAGTGTGAATATGACTGTAAATATGAGTGTGAATATGACTGTAAATATGAGTGTGAATATGAGTGTGATTGAAACGTGAGAAAATATGTTAAGGTCTTGAGAATGTAAAGCAACTGAGTTACCGAACACTTTCGCGGACAATATTTGTCAAGTATTTTTGCGAAACCCTTGAACCACAAGGTTAAGAGTAAAGTTAACCGGGGCTGGTTTCACGAAAGAAGCCTCTGTACGATTCATATGGGGTTAAGCGTAACGAGGAAAGGAAATCCCATATGTCGAGAAGTCCCATCGGGCTACCCTCTTTTCACATATATTAACTCTAAAATTGAAGGGGCTGAAGAGACAATCCCTCGATAAGATTTTGATCTTCCTAATCCTTTTCATTGGACTTTCATGACCCTTTCACGAGCCATTTATCTATGTACCTATCCTTATTAACCCTATCATTACAAAAATTAGAAAGAATCATTTTTACAGCAATTAACTGATGGCTGGATAGCCACAAGACTATTCACTATTTTCTACTCTTCTTTCATTTTGTAATAAATATTTCTGCGAATGGTATACAAAATTCTAACCCAGCTCTACATCTCTTTTAAGTTTAATTTCCTCTTTTAATAACAAACTTCAATTTTGTAGGTAAAGTATTTCTCAATTTTATTATAGAACTATTTCTTATTTTTTATCGTAAGTAAACGTTAACGAATGAGGTGGTTACCTCTTTGTCCTCACACCTAGCACAGTAATTTAGTTTTAAATTTAAACTTGTTCTTCGAGTCAGTAATTTAAAATATTAATTCAGATCAAATTTTCGTTCAGTTCGATGAGACAGCAAATTTTGCTCTCGAATTTTATTTAATAATTTAGCAGAAATTACAAAAAGTAACAATATAGTGAGGAAGTGCAAAGACTACCGTAATTAAGAGCAGCAGAGTCCGAACATTACCTCAGCGTATCGCAACGTTCCAATACATTACCTGAAATATTACCTGTTCCACGGATTTAGTTTAGTCACGTTAAGATATTTATGCACGGCGAGAAAAAATGGGGGGAAGATGTATCTTGGATGTACATTAAGCCCGACGTTGATGTACGACCAAGAGAACGAAGGGTTATAAAAAGATTCTGTGGACGGACATTAGAGAGTTAGCAGAGTTGTAACGCGACTATCATCAGGCGACACGTTAATTAACCAGCTTCCACTATTAATAAAAATCAAACTTAATTCCCTAGAAAATTACTGCGTTTCTAATTCATTTATAAAAAACTTTGAACATTGAGGTGAAATTGTGGAATAAGGGAAATTCACTGATATCAAATTTTAAGGACTGAGATTTGGAGAAGCAGGTTCGATGTTATTTTGGGGACATCTTAATAATATAATTTAAAGTTAGGGTCGACGTTTGACTTTGTAACCTTAATTATTCGATCAAACTTACGTCCTGTAATGTCAAATTTTCTCATGTTTTAATTTTACTCAAAAGTTCTACTAATTTTTTAATTGACTACCTTTAAGTCTGGACCCATCGACATCTGAGCCTAGCAATAATCATCTCATCCTTTAAAACTTCTAGAAATTAAGTACTTTGCGCTTGTTGTTCCTATGAAATTATAACAAACTAGTAAATGAGATTACAACTAAACAGTAAATGAGACTACAACAAAAATTACTAATAGACCTTGAAAATACTTTGAAAATTAAATTTGCATGATCCGATTTGACATAAACGTGTCATAGGGTGATACCGAGGTTGAGTCCTTTCCGAACGTCAAGAAAAATCCTTATGGACTCGTAAAGTATCGTCAGTGAAAAGTTAGACCGGAAGTTTCCGGCAAGTTGCGGTTAGATTTTTCCCGTCTCTTTCTTTCGACCGTCACACGCTTACGGGAGCCTTCGGGTAGCAAAGTCAGTCGAAAATCAGCCGCAACCGCTGGAACGCGTCGCCACCAACTCTCGCGGTTTCTCCTCTCCCTTCTTTCTCCGGGGCCGCAACCCCCTTAACCGTGGATTAAAGTATCGAGGACAGCGGCCCGCGACTGAATAATTCAGCGGCAAACTTTCAACCGCAACCGATGGGAAAGCTCTTCATACTTCGACGGGAATCCCACCTACCGTGGCAACATTTGAAAACGATGGAAATTCGGTTTGTGTTGCAGGATTGGCGCTGATGAGAATCGTCGAGGTCTACAAGGAGATCCAGGAGCAGGAGATGAATATCGTGAGTATATACCTTTCATGTTATACGCTGTATGACTAGGGAACGTTGGTAGATTTAGCATTGTAGAAATTTTGGAGGCATTGGTAGATCAAAGTGAAAGTTATTTTGTTAGAGTTTGGGGGTTAGTTGTATAATCAAGGGTATACTCAAGTTTTTATGGGAAGGTTTTATGGTAAAGTGTACTACATGTGGGTGCCACATTATGGAGAGTCATCATAAGTAGTCATCACTTGAGACCCTCCATAGGACTTGCTAGATCAAACTGAAACTTATTTAATTTGCAATCGATTTTGTTAGAGTATGAAGGTTATAGTATACTCAAGGGTTCTATGGCAAGGTGTACTACATGTACATGCCACATTATGGAGAGTCATCATAGGTAGTCACCACTTGAGACTCTCCATAGGACTTGCTAGATCAAACTGAAGCTTATTTAATTTCCAATCAATTTTGTTAGAGTATGAAGGTTATAGTATACTCAAAGGTGTACTACATGTGGATGCCACATTGTGGAGAGTCATCATAGGTAGTCACCACTTGAGACCCTCCACAGGTCTTGCTAGGTCAAACCGAAACTCATTTAATTTCTAATCAAACTTGTTTGAGTATGAGGGTTATAGTATACTCCAGAGTTAGATTTATTGCTAGGTGGTCATGCTACATGTGGATGCCACATTAGTACTATGGAGAGTCATCATAGGTAGTCACCACTTGAAACACTCCATAGGTCTTGCTAGGTCAAACTGAAACTCACTTCATTTCTAATCAAACTTGTTTGAGTATGAGGGTTACAATATATTCCAGAGTTAGATTTATGGCTAGGTGGTCATGCTACATGTGGATGTCACATTAGTACCATGGAGACTCATCACAAGTAATCACTACTTGAGACACTCCATAGGTCTTGCTAATTCAAACTGAAACTCATTTAATTTCTAATCAAACTTGTTTGAGTATGAGGGTTATAGTATACTCCAGAGTTAGATGTATAGCTAGGTGTTCATGCTACATGTGAATGCCACATTAGTACTATGGAGAGTCATCATAGGTAATCGCCACTTGAGACACTCCATAGGTCTTGCTAATTCAAACTGAAACTCATTTAATTTCTAATCAAACTTGTTTGAGTATGAGTGTTACAGTATACTCCAGAGTTAGATTTATGGCTAGATGTTCATGCTACATGTGGATGTCACATTAGTACCATGGAGACTCATCACAAATAATCACTACTTGAGACACTCCATAGGTCTTGCTAATTCAAACTGAAACTCACTTAATTTCTAATCAAACTTGTTTGAGTATGAGTGTTATAATATACTCCAGAGTTAGATTTAGGGTTAGGTGCTCATATTACATGTGGATGAGTTCAGTACAATTTAGCTTCGACTTGAATTCAATTCAGCCTAGAGTTCAGTTCAGTTCAGATATCACTTTATCTTGTTTTTTAACTAATACAGTATACTGATCACCCTAACACAAATCACAGATTGTAATTTATACGTAAGAGACATAGACAAGTACACATTCACATACTACATACTAATGATATAAACAAATATTCAACATCAGTTCATAATTCTGTTCCCACTTCATCCATCTAGAAGTATAAAATAATAAACAAGGTCCATAAAGAAACCAGATGTTTTAGTCTGAAGGCGATAAATCTCGTCCCAGGTAGAGTTGGTAGGATAAATTGTAGTTTGCGAAATCAAACGTTGAATAGTTGATAAGGATCCACGAAGGGATAGCAAGGTGATAACGCGTATCTTGAGAAAGAATAAATCTTGCAAACGGACAGAGCGTTTGAATAATTTAAATAAAAGGCCACGAGCGACGCAATTAAAAGTGGCGAAGATTTATGCGGGACGCGGTAGAGAACGAAAATAGCAGCGGGTGTGAAATCGTGACAGGAGGAACTTCCAACCGCCGTTGGAATATTAATTGGAAACTGAAAACAGAGAAATTCGTTCATTTATTCGATCCATTTTGTTCTCTCTTTTCTCTCTGTCTGATCATTTAATTATGTTCTTTTATCCGGACCATGTTACGACGTTGTCTTTTGCCTTTCGCGTTTCTTCGTCCCTTCTTCCATCCGGCGACTGCATGGAAATCTCTTTGATCCTTCCGCGAGGTTGGTTCGCCTCAGGGGTGAGATTACGCACCTGCAGACGTCTCTTTTGAGGGTGAAAATTCGTTTCAGCTGTAACGACATGTTATTACGATTTCGCCCCGCGGACACTGATACCGGTTGCTGTGTTTTCAAAATCGCGTCCCACGGGAGAGGTCTGGCCAGGACCTCAAATCAGACGAGATGGAGTTTTACGGTCTTAACGTGTACCGAGCCAGGGAAAAACTTGAACAGATTTCACGGACGAGAAGTACGACTTTCGCGTACTTATTTCTGATCTCGCGAACCCGAGTCAGTTGGGACTTCAGATGTTTGGGGAAAGAATATTTCTCGACAACATGAATCCGATGGTCGGGTGTTGTGAACTTGAGACTCGGTGGAGTCGTACTTTTTTAAATTGAGGATTTGGGGATTTGTAGAATTGGAGAGTTGGGAAATTAGAGATCTGGGGATTGGTGGAATTGGATGTTTGGGATTTGGAATTGGGGATTAAGGAATTGAGGATTTGGGGATTTGTGGAAGTGGAGATGTGGGAAATTAGAGACTTGGGGATTTGAGGATGGGATGAACTGAATATTTGGGAATATTGGGAATTGGGAATTAGAGAATTGGGGAATTAGGGAACTGGGGCTTCGGAAATTTGGGGATTTGCGAAATCGGGAAATTAGAGATTGGAGACTTAGGGGACTGGGAATTGGGGAACTGGGGAATTAGGGAATTGGTGAATTAGGGAACTGGGGAATTAGAGAATTGGTGAATTAGGGAACTGGGGAATTAGGGAACTAGGAAATTATGGAATTGGAAATTTGTGAATTTGGGAAATTAGGGATTGGGGAGTTAGGGAACTGGGGAATTAGGGAACTGGGGCTTCGGAAATTTGGGGATTTGCGAAATCGGAAAACTAGAGATTGGGAACTTAGGGAACTGGAAATTAGGGAACTGGGAAATTAGGGAATTGGTGAATTAGGGAACTGGGGAATTAGGGAACTGGGGCTTCGGAAATTTGGGGATTTGCGAAATCGGGAAATTAGAGATTGGAGACTTAGGGGACTGGGAATTGGGGAACTGGGGAATTAGGGAATTGGTGAATTAGGGAACTGGACTTAGGGGACTGGGAATTAGGGAACTGGGGAATTAGGGAATTGGGGAATTAGGGAACTGGGGAATTAGAGAATTGGTGAATTAGGGAACTGGGGAATTAGGGAGTTGGGGAATTAGGGAGTGGAACTAAGAAACTTGGGAATTAGGGAACTGTGGAATTAAGAAACTGGGGAATTAGGGAACTGGGAAATTAAGGAACTGGGGAATTAGAGAACTGGGGAATCAGTGAACTGGGGAATTAGGGAATTAGGGAATTGGAGAACTGGGGAATTAGGAAGCTGGGAAAATATAGAACTGGGGACTTGGAAATTAATGAAATTAAGGATTTGTAGATTTGAATATTTGAAAATTTGAGAAATTAGAGATTTGAAGACTTCAAAAATAAAAATCTAGAAGTTAGAAATTTTGAAAATTTCTTATCTAAAATATAGTAACAACTGATCTTCAGAACATAGTACTTCCCACCCCAATAAAATCACACAACGACCAAAATAAAATAATTAAAACATCACAAAATTTGAAAATTCCAAAAACAAATATCTGTAGTCCATAACACGCAAATCTAAAAATGCGTAGACATAGAATTTGAAGAACGTCAGTAACCTTCCAATCCCACAATAGCGTGTTAGCAATTTCCGTCGATTCGCACAACAAATTGACAAGCAATTATCTCACATATAAATTGGGTATCGGATACCGTGCCGCGGTATGATTTTTAAGCTACGCAATTTCCGTGCGGCAATTTTAATTGGAGGTTCGTTAGTGCTTAAAAATCACGGGAAGTTAAGCGAGTGATAGGTGGAACTCGAAGCAAATAAATTATCATAATGTTCCGCGGAACGTTCGCGTGCAGTGTGTTTGAAAGTAAAAACAAGAGGAAAACATTGTCCAGGCTGAAAAGAAATTCATTAGCGAGTGTTGAAGCGTTGGTAAATTTAAAACGTGCGTCACTGTTCAAACATTTTTAACATTTTTTTCCCTTCTGTCGGAAAATTAAACTTCGGCGCTGCGTGGTTGAAAAAATTCCGATAAAAGAGCCGGTTCCATTTTGCTGGATGTTTTATATAAAAACTTTACAATGCAATTCGTGTTTATGTATGGTTATCGGATTTGTTATTTAATAATTAGAGGGGGCAGAATTTGAGTAGAGGTGTTGGATATTTTTTTTTGGTTATTTGGGGATTTAGGGGTTGGGAATTTAGGAATTGGGGACTTAGGAATATGGGAACTTAGGGAGTGGGGATTTAGGAATGTGGGAAATTAGAGATATGGGAAATTAGAGGTTGGGGATTTAGGAATTGGGGACTTAGGGATATGGGAACTTAGGGAGTGGGGATTTAGGAATGTGGGAAATTAGAGATATGGGAAATTAGAGGTTGGGGATTTAGAAATTGGGAACTTAGGAATATGGGAACTTAGGGAGTGGGGATTTAGAAATGTGGGAAATTAGAGATATGGGAAATTAGAGGTTGGGGATTTAGGAATATGGAAAATTAGAGATATGGGAAATTAGAGGTTGGGGATTTAGGAATATGGGAAATTAGAGATATGGGAAATTAGAGGTTGGGGATTTAGAAATATGGGAATTTGAAGGTTGGGGATTTAGGAATATGAGAATTTAGAGGTTGGGGATTCATAAGTTAGTGATTTAAAAAATCAAGACGTATTTGTCAATTTAAAAGTTTGTTAATTTACAAATTAAAAATGCAGAAAGTCTTAACTCTAAAATTTGCAAACTCAGTAATATATGATTCTAAATATGAAGAAT